CGCTCGCTAAAGTCCGCCCTGCCACGCCCGAGATCGACCTGGTCCTTCAACGGTACAGGGATGCGCGCGAGGCGCTCCGTGGCACTATCTCCCAGGCCAAGCCTGATGGTATCAAGCTTAAGGAAATTGGTCAGCGCATCCAGTTGCAGCGCTGGCAGTCCTCCCAGGAGGAGAAGCGGCAGAAGATCGCCGAGCTCCAGCAGGAACCCGAAGATCGAGAGAAGCAGATCCAAGCCACGCGTACCACCCTCTGCGAGCTCCAGGCGGAGCGTACCAAGATCTGCGATGCCGCTGCCACCCTGGCACACCCACCTGAGCCTCCTGCCACTGGTGGTGCTGCTGATGATCGGTGGAGTCTCACGAAGATGGCCCAAGTCCTGGAGCAGATGGGACTGGCAACTGGCCTTCAGGAGAAGGTGCAGGGAGTGGTGCAAGAGATCAAGGCGGAGGACGCAAAGATCCAGGAGGCCAAGCGCCTCCAAGCTGTGCAGGAGCAGCATGAGCGTGACGCCCGGAAGGCTGCAGAGGACGCTGCCGCCGCTCAGGCAGCCCAGCAGCGAGGTGCAGCAGCGGCCTCAGACGACGAGGCGATCAACTCAGCTACGGCAGAGGAGCTGCGGGAGTACCTCAAGGCGTGCGGCATGGAGGTGCTGGCAGGTGGCTCTGAAGATGATGATGATCTCCGCGCCGTTGCCAAGCGCATACACACCGTGCCCTCTTGGCAGGAGGCTAAGCGCCTCAAGTCGCAGTGATCTGGTCGACGTCATGATGATGCCTTTTCCAGAAGCTAAGCCTGCTGAGGGCCAGCTCAGCTTTACGGCAGCAGAGTTTGTGCCGAACTCCTCCTGACATCTACCTGCCCCTGTGCATGCGGGGCCAGACCTGACGCCTTGTCGTGAGCGCCCCTGCTCAGGTGCCCAAGCCGACCTTGATCGCCACGGTGAGTTGTCAATCTCACAAGTGTCAGTTGGGCTCTTGGAGCCGCCCCCGTATGCCCAGGGGAAAGGGCTGGCTGCATGCGAGGCCCACCGCGGTGGGGTGGCCGATGCCCTCGCACATGATGCTGCACTTGGCGGCCTGGTGAGGCGCTGCGACGCTCGCCCCGTCGCCCTCCCAGTAAGTCCGAGCGAGGCCCACCGCGGTGGGGTGGCCGATGCCCTCGCACATGTTCTTCCCCCTGGCGGCGTGGAGAGGAGCGGCGACGCTCGCCCCGTCGCGCTCCCCGCAAGCCCGAGCGAGGCCCGCCGCGGTGGGGTGGCCGATGCCCTCGCACACGAAGGAGCGCTTGGCGGCCTGGTGAGGTGCTGCGGTGCTCGCCCCACCGCCCTCCCTGTAAGCCCGAGCGAGGCCCACTGCGGTGGGGTGGCCGATGCCCTCGCACTTGGAGTCGCAGCAGGCGGCATGGAAAGGGGCTGCGACGCTCGCCCCATCGCCCTCCCTGTGAGGACGTGCGTGGCCCACCGTGGTGGGGTGGCAGAGAGGTGCTGCAATGCTCGCCCCATCGTCCTCCCTGTTAGCCCGAGCGAGGCCCACAATGGTGGGGTGGCTGAAGCCCTCGCACATGGAGTTACTGGAGACGGCTCTGAGAGGTGCTGTGACGCTCGCCCAGAGGAGGCTGGTGGTGTGCTCCACAACATGGATGGCGACGTCGACCCCTTGGAGGATCTCGACAGGCAGCTGTACGACCACGAGATGTACGAGGAGCCAGACTCGTCGCCAACGCCACCCACGGGGAGTTCGAAGTCGCCAGTGGTACTGGACTCGAGGAACAGCCAGGCGCCAGGAGCAGGAGATGAGCGACCTGCGGCAGTCCTGGCGGGCCAACCGGATGCGCCAAAGGTGGAGGCAGATCGTCGTGGTCCGCAGGTGATCACCGCGAATGCGAACTCCTATGGCTCGCTCACCAAGTACCTCGCCACTTGTACGGCTGACGTGGTCTTAGCTCAAGAGGTGCACGCTCATGGGCCCAAGATGCACGAGGTGCAAGGCGACGCCCTCGACGTCGGCTGGAAAGGCCAGTGGATCGATGCGATCCCAACTGCTGAAGGTGGATCGGAGGGTGGTCGCGCTGTGCTCGCTCGTTCTTGCATCCAGGTCACCCAGGCCCCCTTCCTAGAGCACGGCGTGATCTATGCAGGCCGCATTGGAGCGGGCCTCGTCCGTGCTGACCAGCGTGGAGGCATCGTCGTGGTTTCGATCTACTTGTACACAGGAGAAGGGCGCACCCCGAGGAACCTAGCCCTGTTGTGGGAAGCGTGCAAATACGTGCGACGAGTGGCCGCTGCAGGTCACTCTTGGTTGATCGCAGGAGATTTCAATATGTCACCATCGGAGCTGTTTGAGCACGACCGGCTACACATGATCCAAGGGCGGTGCTGCGCCCCCGATCACCCCACGCGCTTGCAAGCCGCGCCAGGCACAACGATAGATTTCTTTATCCTCCACAGCTCGCTAGTGGATGATGTGCCTTTCCAGGTCGCGGTGCAGAGTGACGCGACAC